ACCCTCACCTCCAGCCCTGGCAGAGTTACGTGGAGCAGCTGCTCACAACGACCGACTATCACGTGATCTTGTCCTCCTGCTGGTACCTCAACAAGATCTACAGCAACCAGGACTGGAGGAGGTTCTATGCCTGTGACCCTGCTAGCGTCAACGGTAATGGGTTTTTTATGTTTAGTTGTAATAATGATAATAAATGGCCGCTTTTAAGGACCACATTTAGGGGGTTTCCAGAAAGTTTGACCAACACCAAAAGTGGGCATTGCCCTACCTATAGGAGAAGTTTGGTTTTATTGGTGTGTTTATTTTTTTGGTTTTAGAGAAAACTCTCCTTGCCTTTTAAAGAAACTGAACAACGGGCAAATACTTCACCTTCGATTTTCTCAAAACAGCATTTTTCGGGATAGCCCCCTTGTCCTTAAAAGCGACCCAATAATAGATAACATTAAATTTGTATAGCGCAAATCCCCGTTCAACAGCAAGCTCTATGCGCTTCACAAACTATACTACTTCCCCAGCAGACCCGAGAACATTCTGAAACAAGCTCAACCTCTTGGGAAGCATACAGTGCAAGCGGCCATTTATAGGCTTTAAAACACTAACACACTTACAAAACCTTTCGCTGTCTATGGCGGGGTACCCATTCCCACCTGGGTGAAGTGAGGAAAATTCGTGTAAAGTGTTTTTCCCAGGGACACAGCTTCAGGCCTGTGGCTCGAACCCCCGAACCCTCAACATCACGCTTATGAGTCCGGTAGCCTAAAAATAGGCCTCTCCATTCGACAAAATTTGATTTAGATTATCAAAATTTAATAAGTGGGCTTCGACCCTGCCCAGTCAAGGCCGAATCAGGCTGAGAGGGATAGAACACCCCATCAGAAAGACAAATTGACCCCACTCCGGATTTGAAATGTGGTTGTCTACGCATGACAAAGAAACGTCTAACTACTACACCTCATTAGAATAATCCGAAATCAGGCATTCTTACCACATGGCTATCCAAGAGACAACATAATTTTTTTGAGCATAGAAAACATACTCTTAGCAATTACCTTGCCCATTTCAGAACTTCGGTTTATGTTTTGTCATGCCATTTAATACCCCCAAATTCTCCTGGGACATTAAATGTTGAAATAATTAGTGAAATAATTTTAAAGTTTCTTTGCATGACTTTGATAGACTGTTCAGGTATCAGCACCCCAAAGCAACGTTAAGAGTACAAAAACATTGCAGACTAGAACTTATGGGTTCTGTTACTTGTAATGGATGAAGTGTAACACTTTCCTTCACCCTAGTACTCTACACCAACTCCTAGTATATGGCATATAAACACAACATAAACGCTTTTGAGATGTGATGCTACCATAGAATGGCTTGGATAAGTTGGAAAACAAAAACAGACAAACAGAGAGGTGTGTCAGATTCTACACACAAGACAAACCCTGCTAAACAAAATAAACTGTTGAAAAATACAATACTATGGTCCCTTAAAACTACACAAGACTATTGTGAAAGAAGTACTTGAAGGAAAGATGAGGGGCAGGAGTGTCAGAGGAAGGCATAGAATAACATGGATGGATAACACGAGAGCAAGGGGTGGCGTGGATATGACAGAATGTGCAACGCCAGCTCGGGACAGTGAAAGATGGAGGGTCATTACACGTCAACCTCTGAGTCAGAGATGACACCTCCAGGTATCCAGGTATCCAGGTATCCAGGTACATGTATATGGCATGCAAATTCAGTTGGCTCACGACTGTATCATTTGGTTTGTTTTCAGTCATAAATCTATAATAAAACTACGTTTATTGCTTGGATCACAATTTCTTATTGGTTTGATGCTATTTCTTACCACTACATTAAACTAAACTAATTTTGTTACCATTCCTGAACAGCCAAGAAGATTATCCCACTGGGACAATAAAATATTATCTTATCTTATCTTATCTATTTTAATCAGAATGAGTCGAGACATGGTGAAATGCATGATGTTGAAAACCTGATGGCAAAACGTGTTGATGTAGAGGGCGGGTAGCCTTACAATAATGAGATTAAACAATACATTCTAAAACTCGTATTGATTCTTTCAGCCACAGACGAGCAGCTGTCTAGAATTCTCGGGGGTGAGGCTTGTGTGTGGAGCGAGTACCTGGACGAATACAACGTTCTACAGTCCGTTTGGTGAGCTAAATACTTTTTGGAGTAAATTTTAGTAAGGTTTTACATCCCTCGTAACTGCATAAGGGCATATGAGTGCCATGGAGTGAATGTCAACAGAGATGTCCAAACGGGGAATCAGACTTACACTGCTCACCTCACTAGCGTCAACAGAGCAAAGTCTGCTTCGACTATCAAGGCACCTCATAAATAGCAGTTCAGTAGAGAGTGACAAAAATACAAAAGAAGTAGAGGAAAATGATGATAGAAAGAATGAGGAAAGAAAAAGAAGCAGTTCTCCCTATGTTGTTCCGCCACAGTATGAGTATAACATTGATAAATCAGC